CTTCTTTATTAGATTGTAGCCCTACATTTTTTTTACAAGGGTCAGTGGCTTTTAGTGGTATTTATTTTTTATTTATTTTAGTTCAATTTTATCCTATTTTACCCTATTTTTCCTCCATTTTAGCTATAGCCAGTTCCCACCTTTTCCCTATGTGTCTCCCATCACATGATGCTACCAAGCTGGCAGGGTGTAGTCTAGCATGTGCTTTCTCCAAGTATCGTGAAACTACTGCATCTTTTGGACTGCCACTAACATGATGTCATTGAACAGCGTCGTGTGCTTGGAGGTGAACGCTAACTGCCAGTTCTGTCATAACAGACCTCTGCCTTGGCTAGCATCATGCTGAGTGATGAGGGAAGAGGAAGGGCCACCCAGAGACAGCAGTGTTAATTTTGGCTGGTTTCCTTTTCATTGGATTAAAGCTTATTGCCATGGAAAAAAATGCCACAGTAAACGATCGCTGTAAGTCATATTAAAAGGCTGAAGGATTACTGAACATTATTCCCCAGTCAATACTGCTGATACTTCTGAGTTCCTACCCTGTTCAGTGTAAAAACACACTATCTGACCTGTACCAGAATGGAACTATTTTATATGGTGAGAAAAGGCATCATGGCATCATGACCATCCAACTTTTTGGACCATCCAACTTTGAACCTTGGTTTGGATTTGATGTGTATTAATATTTACCTTGGTTAAGGTTGGCAGCTAGGGATGTGTGACTAACCTCATAAAACTGCCCTCAATATATCCATCTGGTTTGTTTAACAACGGTTTCTGTTTTAAAACAGTTTGTATGCTTTTTTTTTGCTCTCTTTATTATTCTTAACTGCCATTGGCTCTTTAAAGTGGAATTCATCCGATTTTTTTATTTCAGAATTCAATAGATGCTAAGTAGTTTAGTTGTTTGATGTGAAATGGTGTATTCTAGAGAAACTTACTGACTCAGATTTCTTTGCAGTGGCGGTGCAGGAACCATGGATCACAATGACCACAGTAAATATAAACATTTTATTTGCTTTCCAACAACCAGTAAATCTGCACATGAGTTTTTGTATGTAATGTTAATAATGGTAAAACCGTGGTAAACCACAAAAAAGGTTTGAGTTCTGCTTTATAGGTTTAAAAGTAGGCTGTAGCCAAAACCTTATTTCAAAACTATCATAAAAAAAACATTGTCTTTGTTGTTAAATCAATTCATAGAATTTCATGTCATGCTTTCAGTGATGGAGCTCTTAGACCCATTCAGTGATTCAGACATCTGGTTCCCTTTAACATTTGTGAATGATTCTGCAAGCTTCTCTAGAATGGCACATTTCACATCAAACCACTCTGAATGACTTTGTTTACATTTATGTAATTATGCAGAAACTTTCTCCACTTTAATACTACATTTTATGTAAACTTTAACAGGACCGGACCCACAGTTGATAAAAGGACACAGAATGGTCCAAGTAAAAGTGAAACTGCAATGAAGAAAGCAGATTGAAACCAGGCAAAAATAAAGTAAAAGCATGGCGTATTTCAGGATGATTTAAGGGTGTGTTCCTCCATGGTTAAATTTGGAATATGAGGTCTGAGAAACTGGTGCAAGAACCACTCTTAATGGAAACTACTGTTAAAACCACATCCCACGCTTTTCTATACATTTGGCCTGAAACAGTCAGCTGTCACTGTGTGGCTGAGTTGTTTTAGTACATTTGGCTCCAAAGTACCAACTTACTATTCAGCACACGATCAAGGCCTTTGGTCTTTGCTACTTCTTTGTAAAAGAAGCGTTTGCTCTTGCTTTGTTTGTGTCCTTTCGTTTATGTGGAAATGGAACTTCGGAAGCTTTGTTTCGGCCATTTATGAACAAATGTGCGCTACTGGTACATTCCGGGAATTTACCAGCTCTTCAGCTTTCGGACACTCTGTTGAATGAGACTACAGTAAATGGGCCATTTCCTCTGTTTCATGGAGCGGGAGACACAGGCCTGAGTTACAGTTGGCAAGAGAGAGAGAGAGAGGGATGCACCTCCGATGCTGGATTCCACAGCCTTGTTCCTGTGCACAGTTCTGCTTCTGTGTTTGTGCAGGCTGTCAGCCAAGTGGCTCTAATGCAGCCTATCCCCCTTCCCCCTTCTCCTGTGTCATACCCCAGTGGGACACTGCAGTTAAACTGTAAACCACTGCCGCTCGCCCAGCCTGACCGCATTCCGATAAGCCTCTTCTCCAGGAATTCCTTCCGGGTCACAGAGCCACCTTTTCCTTTCCTCCCATTCTGTGCTTTTCTTTCCAGCTGTCCTGTTCTTCCTTTTCCATAAACTGTCTCTTTGTGAAGACTAAATTAGATCTTCCTAGTCCCTGCTGTCTTGTGCTCTATATCTAATAAGTCTTAACAGATCCTGAGCGTGATATTTTTTTTTATTTTTCCCCGGTCTGAAGAGTTTGTTTTTAAACAGAGAAGATGTGGAGAGTCTCCGCTGTTCTGGCTGTGGGAACTATCGTTTTATCCTGTCCACTGTGAGCCGGGCGCAAAGGAGCGTGAAAAGTGCTGAGTGGCGAAAGCACTCCCTTAGCTGCTCTCTGTCCGAATGTTTAGCAGTTCAAACGTTTGAAGCCCTTCAGCTGTACACATTAACTCCTTAAATTCTAAGGGTCTGGATGTGGGTCTACACTTCAATTGCTCACTCGTGTAACTTAGTAAGTCACTGAATAATAAGTCTTAAGATCAACTGAATAACAGCCATAGAGTTTGTTTTAAGATATATGATGTAAAAATGATGATTAAGAACACAGGTACAGTTTATACCTGTTTTGGCTTTTACTTTACCTAGTATTAGGGATGCACCAGTACCACTTTTTCCAACCTAACTACTTGATAGATGGCTACAAATCCTGATGTTTATATTGTTCGACTTTTTGAATATTTCATTTTGTTAATAGCAGCGTTCTGTGTTAAATATAAAACCGGGAATCCCACAAATCTTTAGAAAATCTAACCTAAAAAAAAACAAAAAATACAGAAAAATTTAAGGTAAAAAAATATCGTAATGTCTTATTAGAGCTATTACTGGAAATCAGAGCTCTGTTTACTCTTCTATCATAGGACATTATCCACAACCTGAGGTAAAGTTTTCAGAAGGTACCAGAGCTTTTTAAGTGTCTGCAGTGAGGAACAACTTTCTAGTAGAAAATGAAAATGTTGTATATGCAGCATATCATAGTATTTCTAATGTGTTTGAACTAGCTGCCTTTCATCGAAACACTGGCATGTGAAATGTGAGCACACAGAAGTTCTGTTTTGTTATTTAAGACATTTGTCATGAGTGACCAATACCATGTACAAAATACACTTTCCCCATGTTTTTCTCTTGCACTATATGGCGCTTCCTCTGGGTTTAAACTGTGTTGGCAGAAACAGCATGTAAGATACAGAGAAAAATTAACAGCTACCGTGTGCCACAACATGAAATTATAGTGTATTCAGAACATAGTCACACCTCCCCTCGAAATACTGGTGTCACAGATTTTACAGTGAGCATTTTTACTACTGCTTAAATAATAATTATAATAAATGTTTAAACTTATTTATATATACACTTATTTATATAATAAAATTATATAAATAAGTTTAAAATAATCCCACACTGTCAACATGTTGCATGCTTTAGTTATGTCCCTTCTACTGATGTGCATGCACGTGTCACTTTGCAGCACTGTATGCATCAGAAATTGCCTCATGGTGTCTGTATTCTTTATTGCAAATATCAATTCTGTATTTGCAGGCTAATATCTGGGCTGATACCGATGCAGTATCAGTGCAACTCTACCTAGTAGTTTTGAACTGGGTAGAAAGTTTGTTTTTGCTGCCTTTTCGCACAAGTGACATCACATATTCTCCCTCTCTGTAAGCTGCTCCTGCAATCCGGCCCAGACCAGGAGCGAGTTTTACCTGTTCTCTCATTTAGGACTTTCACACTGTGAATGCACAGACTGCTTTGTTCACTACAAGGCTTTTCCAACCGGTTAGACCAAAAAAAAGAAGCTTTGTGGAGAGCTTACTGTGATTCCTGTACTTTTTAAGGTCACCATGCATCAGAAATCATAGCGTGTTTCTCTTCTGTATTGTGACATATTTGTGAGTGTGTTGGGAAGGGTCTCCGAGCTTGCTGAGCATTTTTTCTCAGTGAAATTAGAGGGAGGTAAAACATGATATTATTAGTTAATAACACCGCCCCCTTGTATAAACAGTATTTCTTTAAAAAAAAAAAAAAAATTCATTGTGGTTTTTTTGGTAAAGGCAATGGAACCCTGTGATGGAGAACATGTTATAAATGGTTGTATATGGGTTTTAAAAATGGTTCTGTATAGCAGCAAAAAGGGTTTCACAATTGTCAAAAAAATTTTGGTACTTTTTTTTCTTCTATATAGAACCCTTTTTACTACGAGTACATATATGAAATGTGTGCTGAAAGTGAGCAGGGGCATGAGCTAACAAGATTGTTTTCAGGTTGACTTTAAAGGAAAAAATCCCTCTTACCCAAAATATAGTCAGTCAGCCAATACTGGATGATTGGTGTCTAAAGTTTGCTTCTTTAGTTTTTGCACTGGAGCTACAGGCCTAATGTAACTAACAAGTGAGGGAAGGATTTGGCATTGAGCAAAGTACATGCTGAAAGTTTCATAAATCATCATGAGGTTATTAAATAGACTTAGTGGTTTTCTATCTATAATCTATCTATAAATCTATATAAAAAAAAAGAAGAAAAATGAGTATCCCATAGCCGTCTTGAATTCTAAATGTTGTCCATATTGGTGGTATATAATTTTTTAATTAACTCGTTAGTCACCCTGGCTTCATAGTTCCAGTGCAAAACTAACAAAGCAAACATGTCTTGGCAATCAACTGCATTGAGGTAAGGGCAAAACTGTGTAAATGTCTTTAATCTCTCCCTCCCCTGCTTTGTATTCGTGCCAAAGCCCCTGTGCATTAACTCATCTCTCTTCTCTCGCAGGTCCTGCGATAGACAGCCCCCAGCTGTCTACCTTTGGCTCCAAGAGTGCCCTGTGTCTCTCACCCTCCTTCCAGATGTCCACCCTAAGCCTGCCTGGCCAGGCGCCCTCACCCCTGCAGAGCCCCAGCCTGAATGAGGTGGGCACTGCCAGGCTAGAGGTGGAGGAGGAGGTCAGGAGGAAGGTACACTGCCCACATGCCACCTTGCCAGGCCCCACATAAGAGCCCAGGGAAAACTAGCCTGAGCATGGGCTAATGCACTTAACCAATCAGCACACAGGGCACTGTGTTTGACCAAACAAACATCAGGGTTTAGGAGCGCTGAAGTTTTTCTTCCCTATGTAGTGGGTCTCAGGGATTGGTTGTACTAATGCTTTCTATATATACTGTCCAAGTTTGGGGACACCTACCTTTCCAAAAAGTTTTTTAATACAAATGAACTTGTTTTTGATGTCTGCCTGCAACAGTGTAACATATTAAAGACTAATCAGGTTTATTTTGAGGAAAGCAATATCACATATGTGAATATTGTGACCCAATAAGTATAATGAAAAGCCCATACATTTAATGGCCTTTGCTGTTATGTCAACACTAGGAGTGTAACATTACAACATGTTGTATTGTACACACAGGTATCGAACAGTACACTCAGAAAACTGAAGCAAACGAAGTATTCAGTGTGCTGAATACTGTATATAGTATAGAGTATACTGATTATATTGCATGAAGTATAAAATAAACATGTAATCCCAGGTAAGGGTAGGTATTCAGGTATAGGGCTCCTGTTAGAGTCTTTGACACTGTATTTAGAACCTTGCTTCTAAATAAGTTGGGAAACTGTGCAAGGTGTAAATAAAAAAACAGAATGCAATGATTTGCAAATGAAGATAGTACAAAGACAACATATTAAGTGTTGAACTGAGAAATGTTACTGTTTGTTAAACAAATACATGCCCATTTTGAATGTGATGACAGCAGTACGTTTCAAGGAAGTTGGGACAGGAGCATGTTTACCATTGTGTTGTTTCACCCTTTCTTTTAACAACACTCTGTCATTGTTTGGGAACTGAGGAGACCAATTGCTGTAGTTTTCATAGTGAATTGTTTTTCAATTCTTGCTTAATATAGAATTTCAGCTGCTTGATAGTCTGTGGTCTCTTTTGTGGTCTCTGTTTTTCTTTTTGTAATGCACCAAATGTTTTCAGTGGGTGACAGGCAGGACAGTTTAGCAGCCAGTCTCTTTTACTGCAGAGGCATGCTTTTGTAACACATGCAGAATGTTTTGGCATTGTCTTGCTGAAAATAAACAGGGTCTTCCCTGAATAAGATGTCATCTGAATGGCAGCATATGCACCCCCTGTACCATCACAAATGCTGGCTTTTGAACTGTGCGCTCATAACAAGCCGAGTGGTCCCTCTCCTCTTTAGCCCAGAGGCTGCGGCATCCATGATTTCCAAAAAGAATTTCAGATTTTGATTTTGATTTGAAATGTCGGACCACAGGACACCTCAGTCTGTCTCAACTGATCTCGGCCCAGAAAAAGTGGCAGCATTTTTGGATCCTGTTTATATGTGGTTTCTTCTTTGCATGGTAGAGTTTTATCTTGCCTTTGTGGATGCAGCAATGAACTGTGTTCACAGACAGTGGTTTTTCTGAAGTGTTCCTGAGTCGTGATTTGCTACAGAATACGGTTTTTAGTGCTGTGTCGCTTGATGGACTGAAAGATCACTGTTTTTTTATCCTTATTCCTTGCATACAGAGTTTTCTTTGGATTCTCTAAATCTTTTAATGATATTATGTACATGATGAAATCCACAAGCTCTTGCACGCTATCGAATTATTGCACTGTTTGCAGCACAGTCTTTCACTGAGTGGTGAACCACCCTCTCCATCTTTATTTCTGAAAGACTCAGCCTTTCTGGGACGCTCTTTTTATACCCAGTCATGTTACTAACCTGTTGCAGATTAACCTAATTAGTTGTGAGATGTTCCACCAAGTGCTTTTTTTTTTAGCTGTACCAGTCTTTTGTTGCTCCTGTCCCAACTTTTTTGAAACGTTACTGGCATCAAATGGGCATAAGTTTTTCAAAAAACAATAAAATTTCTCAGTTTCAACAAGTGACATGTTGTCTTTGTACTATTTTCAATTAAATACAGGGTTTAAATGATTTGAACATCTTGACATTCTGTTTTTATTTACATTTTGCCCAGCATCCCAACCTTTTTTGAAAAAAGGGTTGTATATTGTGTTATCTGTGTTTGTGACGTACTAGTACCTTAGGAAAAATTCTAACAGGTACATCACCGACTACATTTGTCTTACAGCAAAATAATGGCTTTACAGACTTTATCTTGAGCTTTTTTACTGCCGATTGTCAGTGTGTTGTTACATTCCGTCTGCTGAAACCTTCTCTTCAGACTAAGGAAGAAACCTAAAGTTTGCGGGTATTTTTCTCACTTGATTAAAAAAAGTAACAGTGAAAACTAATCATACTCAGAGAAAAAGAAGGTGTCCCCAAATGTTTGATGGTCAGTGTATATTTTGGGTTCAGTGCTCTTCTGGCTTTTATTTTTGGATTAATTTGATATATTTGAATGGATATGGCCTTGGCTCCTAACCTTGGTGTGCACTGCTGACTTTAACGCTCTACCTCCAACCTCAGTATATGATTTCTGTGTACTGTGTTGAGTGATTTTGAAATAGGAATGCTACTTGAGTAATCAGTTGTAGTTGTGAGTAATTTCAGTTGTGTGTGCAAGAATGTTTGTTTATTTTTGTTAGTAAGCTTGTTAACACATCTGTGTGTCCAGTTAAGGACAACACATTTCGTGTTACTCTTTAGACGACAGTGTGGAATGTTGAAGGGTGTAATGATTTCAATACAGTATCAGAAAATAAGCAGTGTATTGAAATTTAGTGGGTATGCATAGTCTAACACTGCCCTGCCTCTTCCTGCCTATTTTACTCTCATAGGATGCATCCACATCCTAGCTTTGATCATTGTTAGAGATTTCCACGAAAGATGGGAAGTGAGAGACCCTCAGCAGAGACCAAGGGGCAGTGAGGGTGTGCATGTATTGCCACTACGCCCGTTGGTCTCTGCTGATGGTCTCTCACTTCCATCTTTAATAATAATAATAATAATAATAATAATAGTAAAAAATAATAACTATTTTGGGCAGGCACGTCAGGCATTGAAAAAGTTGTTTGAGATCTTTTATTTATCTGAGCTAAAACAGTCTGTGTCAAACATTTTTAAAACATATATTTACTTCAGGTTCAAAAATCAGACTGAAATTGAAAATATGTGAATCTTTACACCTGTAATCTTATTTAACACAGGCAGTGTGTTCAGATTTTCTAATTGCACAATTTGTGTCAGAAATTTGCTGCATTCTTGTGGCCTGACACAAAATGTGTTAGATTAGTGATGACCTCAAAAATGTCTTGTGATTTAAACCATGATTTCTGAGTCATTTTTGTGGCAGCGGTTGTACTGAGAGCTGTGTGTATGTGTGTTTATCTCAGAGGTATCCCACCGATAAGGCCTACTTCATTGCCAAAGAGATTCTGATGACTGAGAGAACCTACCTGAAAGACCTGGAGGTCATAACAGTGGTGAGTACACAGCTCTAGTAATCTACGTAAAGGGACAGTTCAGCAAAAAAATTCAAATTTACACAAGCAAAAGAGTGATCATGTGTTTCATGTGTATCAGCACTGTTTGTAGCCTCGTCTTTGCATGAGAGACAGTGATGTCTTTGTCTGAGATAGGTGTGTTTCATGTCATGCTGACGTGCTATTGTGTGTTTCTGTGTATCTGTTTCTCCTCAGTGGTTCCGGAGTGCAGTTATTAAAGAGAACGCCATGCCCGAGGGCCTGATGACCCTGCTCTTCTCCAACATTGACCCTATCTATGAGTTTCACAGAGGCTTCCTCAAAGAGATTGACCAGAGGCTGGCTTTCTGGTACACTTGTCCATCTCTTGTATTTCAACGCAACTATAATAGCACTACTTTACACAGATATTAGAGGTGTAAATCTCTAAACTCACAGTAGTCCAGTTAAATTCTTATTCTTTAGGAGATTAATCAGTGCCTAATAAAATCTGAAATTTCACCACAGTTACATTTGATTTTACTATTTTGGTGCCAATTTTTTTTTAAATAAAGCTTGATGTGATATGTAAATATTGTTGTAGTTTCAAAGCCTACTGTTTACTTCCCAGTCCATGCAGTCCCTATAGAGCTGCAAAAACAGCCTGTTTTGATTTCACTGTTTTTATGTCATGAAAAAACATTTAAATATTGCCTATTCAGTCTACAGCAGTTTAGCCCTGCCCATTAATGCTGAAGTTATAAGGAGTATTTCTTCCCAGACACAGTAACAAAAACAGCCTGTTTAATTCTAAGGTATAAAGAAAGGCTGGAAAAGGGTCATGTAAAAATAAACTATGATTGTTTTTGGTACGTAAAACCACAGATGTCAAGCAACGAATTACACAATAATGAAATATAGACCATTTTTATAAATCTTGATAGATTGATGCATTTTTTACGTTCACCTGCAACGTTATTGATTAAAATAGGAAATAAGAGTATGATTACCTCAGTCTCTAATCGCTTTCTTTTTTCACCAGGGAGGGGCGCTCTAATGCTCATGTGAAGGGAGATTACCAGAGAATTGGAGACGTTATGCTAAGGAACATGTGTGCCCTAAAGGTATGGAAATAAATGTGCATTTATATGCATATGCAATGCCATATTCTTGATAGATTTGAAATGAGCCAGTTCTTAATATAAATAAATATTCAGCTGTGTGGATTCTTTTAAACAGTAATTAAAGTTAAGATAAAGCCAGGCTCCAGTAGTTACAAGTGCTACCAAAACAGTTTTATATATTTTTAGGGTAGCTGGCAAAAGACTGTGTTATAATATCCACATGGTCCACATTATGCTGTAAAAATTCTTAGAAGTGGTTTCTAAGTGAACTACATGAGTGTAGTGTCTCATAAGCGTTGCTCTTTTTCTCTTCAGGAGTTCACCAGCTACCTGCAGAAGCATGATGAGGTGCTGACGGAGCTGGAGAAGGCCACAAAATGCGTGAAGAAGCTGGAGACGGTGTATAAGGAGTTTGAGCTGCAGAAGGTTTGCTACCTGCCCCTCAACACTTTCCTGCTCAAACCCATCCAGAGACTCATGCACTACAAGCTGATCCTGGAACGCCTGTGTAAACATTACGCTCCCGACCACAGAGACCACCATGACTGCAAAGGTGACACTAACACTATAGGCCATGTGTTAATCCTTAAATAATGTACGACTGGCACTGACAAAAGCATGCGACAATTTTATGTTCATTGTTTCCCACTCATTAGAACAAGTGGAGAAATTCTATTGTAAGTGTGGGTTCTAAATGTTCAGTCAATACCAAATCTACTTGTATTTGTAAGTAGAAGTGGAGGTTTTATAATAGTTTATTATACTTCGAAATTAATAATTGAGTGGCCTAAAAAAAGTCTGAATATTGCACTTAACTGCTCAAATGTTGCTCTTGACATTCGTAAAATTTGTAAAACGGTTTGGCACTATGTCCTATGAGAACTGTTTCCTGTGTTGGTATTCCCAGGGGTTTAGTGTGAAATGGTTAAATTTGACCAAAAAAAAGGTTAGAATCCCTCCACTGTGATTCTTGACTCGTGCTGTACGGTACAAGCGCGGGATGTCATCTTCAGGAATTTGCACATAACAGTAGTTTTCAGGACTTGTCAGAAAGTTGCTTAAAATTTATGAAACGAATGGCAACCACACTTGTGTCTAATGTTTGTGTGTATGTGCTTTTGTTCGTGTGTGTGTGTGTGTGTGTGTGTTTTTCCCCCCTGTAGAGGCTCTGAAGGAGGTTGCGGAGATAACTGCTCAGCTGCAGAGCAGCCTCATACGGCTGGAGAACTTCCAGAAGCTGACCGAACTCCAGCGGGATCTGATTGGCATCGAGAACCTCACTGCTCCTGGCAGGGTGAGCTGAGACCTTTACTTCATATCTGAAATTGGCAGAGAAAGCGAGGCTACAGCTAACGATTTTTTTTGCAACTGAGTGACACATTACCTGTCATTTACTTAACTGGCTGAATTGTCATCTATAGTTCCTCTCCCACATTTTCCTGCATTTTTTTCTGAATTAATGTTGTCAGCTTTGTCTATTAATCATTGTAACCCTTGATTAAGTGCATGCCTACTTTGAAAGCTGAAAAGATCAGTCCTAAGTGCTAAGAAGCTTTTTGTTTTGTATTTCCTCTTTATGTACTAGGAGTTCATCAGGGAAGGGTGTCTCTACAAGCTCACCAAGAAAGGCCTGCAGCAGCGGATGTTCTTCCTGGTCAGTTGTACACCAGTAGCTCTTTCACAATGTTTATCTTATTTTTTTGTTCTTTATTTTTGACCATAACCTCCTGTCCCAGTTTTCAGATATGCTCCTGTACACAAGCAAAGGCGTCACGGCCACCAACCAGTTCAAAGTTCATGGCCAGCTTCCCCTCCATGGCATGATCGTGAGTATACAGCTTAGTTCCATCCCCAGAATAACATACTTTTCCTGCTCATTCCTTGGTCTTTATCTGCTCCGAGTGCAGCGGCCTGTAGCCCAGCTGTGGTTATTGAGGGGTCATTTTGTCATTTTGTGGCTTCTTGATGTTTTCCTGCTCTGGCCTGCTGTGAACTGCGAGAGTTGAGCTGGGTTTGGCTCGATACAAACTGCACTGTACGTCCCTCATCAGTGAGGCTCATCCGTCATGTCAGCTTGCTAGTCTGAAAAGCCTCCAAGATGAATGAGTCTGTCTAAACAGAGCACGCCATCCCAGCTCTGAGAGGATTTACTCCAACATGGAGGGAGAGCTCTGAGTGAAACATGGAGCTTTGCAGCTTCACTTCATTTTCGGCGTCTTCAGCCAGCATTTGTAGTTTCCTTTGCATTAAAACAAAGAGCATTTGGAGGCTGTACATGATGATTCATGACCATTCACATAAAACTGAATTGCATCGAACTGAACGTGGAGTCTGCTGGAGGAAATCTTTTTCTTTTTTGAGGCATATGAACTTACTAATTAAGAAATATGGTGCCATTGTTATGTGCAATGGAAAATTTACTCTACCAGAATTAGACCTATCTAGTCTCCCCTCAGTTACCTTTTCCAACATGGCCAGTTTGTCTTTTTTGAAGGGTCATTGTCAGGTTACTTGTCAATTATTGCTAATATCATCACATCATCTTATCACCCAGCCCTAGCACCTTGAACCTTTGAGCAGGGAATCAACACAGGTTTATGGTCCAAAGATTACATGCGTCTTATACAGTGTGTATGAGAGCCAGTAGATGTAGATTTTGTATAGAGCTTTAGAAAGTGATGTCAGGAGTTTTGGTCTGGGGAGCATAGAGGCAGGCTTCAGAAACACTAAATGGACCTTTTTGAAGTGTTCTTTTCGAGGGTCATTAGGTTTTTCGTAGGGTTTGAGGAGGTTTTGGAGTACAGGGAGTATGGGGAGGTTGTAAAGCAGGAATGTCCAGCTCTGTTTACGGACGGCTTTTGACCAGCATTGTTTAGTCATTTACCTGCTCAAACCTACCTGATTCTACTCACCACTCATGTTTTTCCACCGTTCAGTGCAGTGTGGCATTTTCTATTCTTTTCCATTGTCAAGCGAACCTTACCTATGCTGAATTTACTTACCCTTCTCATTGGGGTACCAAGTGTGCCAAGCTAGAACGTGTGGGTGGAGTTGTAAATAGTGCAGACCACTGATTAGTTAAACATGATGTGCAACAATTTTTTGGCAATTATCACTCAAATCAGATGACTAAAAATACATTAGCTGGCCATAGTCACTGTCTGTGAGGCTAACATAAAACCAAATGTGGCATAAAAGGTGAATCAGAACTTGAAGCAACTTCTCCATTGTTGCTATGGATAGTACATACTGCACCGTGCTGCACTGCCTGGTGGAAATCACCAAACTGTGCTGGAATCCGGCTATCCAGGGTCAGAATCGGCCACCCAGCGTGTGTTGGTATGACTGTGGGGAGGTTTTGGGGCACTGGGCTTAGCTCAGCATTGCGTGATGGTTTGGTGTGGCAGTAGCATGGCCCTGAGCCTCTCTGTCTCCTAACCTGCATGTCTCTGTTCCACTCCTGCCTGCAGCTCATTGTGCTGGATGCTCCGGTGAGTATGGGGAAAATTCAAACTCCCACAATCCTTCACTCCCACAGACTGCACCGCCATCTCCAGTGCCTCCCCAGCACCCACCCAAGCACTTTCCCTGTTTCTCCCCATCACTCTCTCGCTCTTAGCGCTTTAATGCTTCAGTAGAAGCAAGGAATAGACAGGAGGCTGCTCAATAGGCTGATAACTCGTGGAAGGATGTGACATATAGGTTAAGTTCTGTGAAGTGTATGCAGTCCTTTAGAGATGGTTGTCAGTGTGTCAATCTGGAATGATGTGTCTGTGTGTTTGTGTTCCAGGTGGAGGAGAGCGAGAATGAGTGGTCAGTTCCCCACTGTTTCACCATCTACTCTGCCCAGAGGACCATTGTGGTGGCTGCCAGGTGAGCTCACAGTCCACTGCAGCCTTCCATAATGTTCTTCTGCACTCAGATTGCAATAGGTCCACTTTATGCTCCATGCACAAAGGCATTCTTTCATAGTTAAGGTTGGACACGCTTTACAGAACATTGGCAAAAATCCCACTCAACCTACAGAGAAATTGTATTACAGAACTTTGGTTTTTGTCTTAATCAATTTACTGTCATTAATTTCAAATGATATTTGTTTTGTATGCATGTGAATGATTACATTGTTAGGATAGATCGGTGTAGCTTTTTTTTGTCATTTTTTCGGGATGTACATCTGGTTGATAGACTAAACAGGAGGTTCACTGACTTCAGCTGTTTTAACTTTGCTTGCTAGCAAGCTAAGTTAACATTGTAGACTAAACCACTAGCTACTGTGGCAGAGGTTACTCTAAGGCAGTGGTCACCAGCCTTGATCCTGCAGAGTTGCATTCCAATCACAAGCTGCTACACCTCATTTTTTGATAAGTTCCTATGGTAAAACATCAAATATTTGCTTTTGTACCATTTTTAATTTAATTCAAGTCAAACATAACTTACTAATCACTTCTTTCTGGTTTTATTAGCATATCACATACTGTCACATTTTTGGAATTTGGCTTGTATTAATGCCAGAAATCACTGGCATATTATAGCTGTTTTGGTCATTATTGCACCTCTGTGCAAAGCAAGAAGTTGAGTTTAACTGATTTTTTTTTTTTTTAATGAGCTCTGGTTTTTATGTGTTCTGGTTGACCAGCAAGCTGGTGTCTCCTTCTGTGTTTTTTCCCCTCAAGCTCTGCAGAAATGGTTATACTTATATATACTTATACTAATATATTATTTTTCTAGCCTATAATCCCCTACCACAAAAGTGGAAGAACCATGCCCTTCCTGGCACTGCTACTGGCTATATGTTGCCTCAGATTACATTAAAAAGTTAAGCTTCTCAATGATGGCAACAGAGAGACACGCACAGGTGTAAATATTTAGATCTCAATGAAAAAAATGCCACATTAAGTTTGTGTGCTGCACTTTCTTATTAAGTTAAATGAGATTTTTTGCCAAGCTTGACTAAAGTTCACAACAGGAGTTAGGAAAGATTGTATTTGTGAGTATGGATAGGTCAATTTTGTGTTCATCTTTGCTTTCTTCAGCTCTAAGGTGGAGATGAATAAGTGGATCGAGGACCTGAACATGGCGATAGACATGTCGAAGAAGTCTCAGGAGAAGTCAGATCTATTTCTGGATCCCAGCCTGTGTGACCGCTCCAACAGTAAGGACATCTAAGCGTCTGTTGGATCCCTGTCCTGTGTTAACGTGCTGATAGTGTTGATCACTTTTTTTGAATCCCTTAGCTTCATCACCACCTAGCCTGAGTTAGATATAAACCCCTCCCTTCCCAATCACTCTCCCTTCCCTCCTCTCCTCTCCTTTCCTCCTCTCTCTTCTCCCTGCATGCTCTGGCAGGGTCGTCTGATGAGGTGTCTTTGGAGCAGGAGTCAGAGGATGATGTAAACTCGTCCCGTTGCTCTCTGGACAAACAGAGCCACCACCGGGCCAACACCACCATGCATGTGTGCTGGCACCGTAACACCAGCGTCTCCATGTCTGACCACAGCCTAGCAGTGGAGGTAGCATTCATAAACACATATACATACATACAAACCTTCCGGTCTACACTGGCAGTCACAAAGAACTGCTCAAACGTTGTTTGTAATGATCATTGATGCACACCAGTAAGTGAATGCAAACATAAGAAACAGGGAGTTAAAAGTAATTGAGCAGTAGAGTCAGTTTTATCCAGTCAGGAGCTAGTGTGGCTACAGTTTTTCATTCCAGCCAGTCAGGAGCATACCTAATTGCACTTGGTTAATTAGTTTTAGTCTTAGTCTAAACATTGATAGGTTGTATCACAATTGCTCATCCTTTCTGTGACCTGCAACCTCACTGAGCCTTTGCAGATAAGATTGGGCTACCCAGCTATTTTGCACAGAAGGTATCCCAATATGTGAGAACAATGTACAAAGTACCTAGAAACTACACTACATTTAGCCACATACATCAAAAATAATGCAGAGAGTGTTCTCTTTTATTAAGAGTTTTCTCCTTTACGTGGAAAAAAAGGGGATTCCTATCAAACACATCAAAAACAGTTACTGGAAGAAATTCAATGTTGTGAATATTAGGGTTGGCCTGAACAGCATTTTACGTTTTGAATACTCAAACTCAGTATTTCTGTACAAATATCTGAAAACTCCTTATCAAAACTACCCTTAAAATTGTATTAATAATATTTGCATTTCAATTCAGTTCAATTTACCATAATATTAAGGATTCTGGTTATTGCACAATATTCAAAATATTGTCCAGTAGGTGGCAACGAATACCTGCCATCATGCAAAAACTAGCATGTTGTAACATGCTGTAAGGCATGCAGTCAATGAAGCAGGTGCCTCAATGGTATGCCAGCCTCTTAACGCAACTTGAGCACTGAGCATTGGAAATTGATGCAGCTTATTAAGTTCTGATGCAAGGTGACTTGGACGGCTGGCTTGAACTGATAATGCATTCAACTAAACCAGCTACATTTTTTTTTTTAACATATTCTATATATTAACAGTACCAGTTCTACCTGAAGGCTTTTGCTTATATGTATAGTAGTTTAGGTATCCAAATAGTAAATATGGGAATGAGCATCAATGTTACAAATGATTACTCAAAATTATTCATGCCAGGCTTAGTGATTATATTGTTACATACTACAGTTTAACTTAGAATGCTTGAAGCACATTGGTGAACCCTGGATGCCATATGGATAAAGATTTGCGTGCGTTATTTTTGACCAAAAAATCTTTGTTGGATTACATGAATGCCTTGTTTTTTCAACATTTTCACAGAAGCGAATTTGGAGCATTGGTCAGGGTGCTCACAATAGAGACTGCTCATTTTTACTAGTCGCCTAGTCGTTCAAAAAAGTGGTCTTATTAATCGACTAGTCTGTGCAACCTTTAGCTCACAGCACACATTAAAACATTTAGTGATGTGTTAGAGGCTCATTTGCAAATTTGCAGCCGTCTATAGTATTAATATTGGAACAACAATAACAAGTGATAAATTGCGCAACTGTAGTAAAGATCGGTATATAACATGGGTACATCAGAGAGATTGTTTTTGACTGCTGAACTACAGATGTTCATCTGTGAATGTTGTACAGACACACACAGACAACTCAGGCAGGTCAATTCCCCTCAGACTGGTCCCAGCAGAGACTTGTGAACGAGGGGCTGATACTCACCTGTGCCCACAAGTTCGGCTTCCATCACTTTCATCCTTTTCCACCCTTATTATCCTGTTTTCCTTCCTCTTTTTTCCTCTCCTTTCCAGTAGCTGGCTGATCTCATCTTTTTGTATTTATTATATCTGTTAACCTAAGCTTCTCCAATTCAGACTTTCTCCATCTTTCCACAGCAGTTTCTCATTAACATCTCTTTTGAAGTCAAAGGAATGAATAAACTCCGTCTCCTTTTCCACTAACATTTTTATTTCTGCAGAGTTGGAGGACTGACTGCTTATGCATTTTCAAGCTGTCTGTTCTCTCCTTTAAATGGAATGCTAACACAAACACACTTCTTTTTTCTGCACCATGCCTGCTGCATTCCCTGTGTCTCCTCTTCTTCTGCATGTAACTCACTGTGCCTTTCTTTCCTTCCTTCCACCCTTCTTTGCCTGTCTTTCTGTCTGCCTGTCATGCTGCCTGCCTGTCCTCAGTATTCAGTTCTCCAGCTGTATCTCCTGAGCTGCCCCCTCGTTATCTGCTCGGTCAGGGACAAAGACCCAACACCATCACCCATGTGTGCTGGTACCGCAACCAGAACCTTTCTCTCACTGATTACCTGCGCATGAACCAGGTACTCGCACCTATAAAACTCCAGACCCTGTTACTTTTAAGCGAAGACTGTGTGTCTCCCTCCAGTTTGGGGTTTTGGAATGTACAAACAAAACTGACTGTAGGCCTACAAATGACTGTAGCACAGCAGAATTTTATCAGAATTTTATCTTTTAGTGTAGCACTAAAAAGTTCTGTCCAAACACAACTGTATAGGTCCCATAAAATTCAGGTGTGATAAAATTTGGTCCAAACCCTATTGTAGCCCAGTAAGTTCTGTCTAAACTCTACTGTAGCCCAATAAGTTCTGCCTAAACTCTACTGTAGTCCAAGAAAATTCTCTCTAAACTCGACTGTAGCCTAATAAATTTCTGTCTAAACTCAAGTGTAGCCCAAAAAAAAATTACTCTGTAGACCTGTCTGTAGCCCAGTAAAACTGTCCAAACCCGACTGTAGCCTGTTAAAATTTGCCAGATAGAATTTGACCACCATCAGTGTGAATAAAACACAGCATTCCTAATGATATGGCCTGTCAACCTTGTAGAGTAGACCTCATGTTCCTTGTGTTCCTTTCTACCAACAACATGAGTGACTCCTCCATGCCAGATTTGTCAAATTTGAAGGTAATGACGAAGTGAGTAAGACGAGGTAAATGTAGGCCTAAAAACCATGCGAGAAACTGTCTAAACCTGATCAAACCAAAAAAAAAAAACAGTCCTGTCCAGTTTGGATTTCTCCTTCAAGCTTTACCTCCTGGTCTATCAGACATAAGATTCCTCTGTAGGTTGATGAAGTGCTTTTCTCTGACCTGTGAGGAACCCATCAGATTTTTACCTTTTCACTCAATACCAGAAATAGAACCAGTTTGGCAGTAACACCAGGCTGTGGGAGAGAGCATGGGGGAGGCTGTTGCCAATCCAAGCAAGACATTCTGCAGTGAACTGATCATATTTTCTTACTCAGTCAACTCCTAAAAATTTTGTTTTGGATGTCTCAGAAGACACATTTTTGTGCAAGATGTTGAAGGCCCGTTGTTTAAACTTTCCTTTTTTAATTGTTGAACACAGTTCTGAATCAGCAGGGTGGTCCAGTTTGTGTAGTGACGAGTCTCTGTGTTGATGTCTCCTCCATGTCTACAGAACCAGCTGTCTGGCTACCTCCTAAGGAAGTTCAAGAACAGCAATGGCTGGCAGAAGCTGTGGGTGGTCTTCACCAACTTCTGTCTGTTCTTCTATAAAACACATCAGGTGCTGTCACACACTTCAGCCAACCTCTCGTACATCCCTTTGAAGTCTTGGGTGCAAATGCAAATAGTAGCATAGCAAATGTACTTATTGTACAATTTGTTGTTGCAGTACTAAGGAGTGCTACAGATAAGCTAGATTTTGTAATTCCTGAATGAGGCAAGCCAGTTGACTTAAACTAAAAAATGAGGCCTCATAAAAGTGATATGCATGTGCATTCAGACAGATCAACTTGGCATACTAAGATCTTGAGATTGTCTTAAGATTATTACTTTTATTATTATGGCTTGGCTGTATCTTCTTAATGTGCAGCGTTAATAATGATGATAATAATAAGAGAACTGAGAACAGTTTCAGCGACAGCTGTAATAACATCCATTTTGAGATTCTCCTGCCAGGGTTTTTGGAGTTCATGAATTTTCTATTTTTGATTCAGGATGACTTCCCTCTGGCCAGCCTCCCACTGCTGGGTTACACAGTCAGTACTCCTGGGGAAGCAGACAGCATTCATAAAGAGTATGTCTTCAAGCTGCAGTTCAAGTCCCATGTTTACTTCTTCAGGGCAGAAAGCGAGTATACCTTCGAAAGGTAAAGCTCTTTCATTGGTTTGTTGTCCTCACTGGAATTTATGTAACATTTTCTTTACATGAATGAAACTTTCTGTTACAGTATTAAAGTTTTCTATTGATCAGTTCATCATGAAATGTTCACAAGGTCTAAAGAGAAGCTGCTGTTTTAAAATGAGGTAGAAAAATTAAAAAGTTTTTCCTTATGGCAGCAAAGATATGTAAATCATGTTCAGATCTAAATCATGTAAATATTTGAAAGCAAAGTAGCACATAATGACTGTTGTGGTTTGTGTTTGTGTGTGCAGATGGATGGAAGTGATAAAAAGTGCAGCCAGTGCTGCAGGGCGGGTCAGTCTACTCATCCCCAAAGGCCCAGGAGAGATGAACGGGAACTGAACAAGGAGGAGCTAAGGCTGACTTTCCTCCTGGAGCTGGGGGCTGGGCCCTGCAGACTGCCAGGATTATACGGCATTATTTTATTTAATCTTCTGTTTCACAGCTTCCACTACCATCATCTTGGTTCTGTATTACTGACTCCTGAGATCTTTGCATATCTCTGGAATAGGAGGTGCCCATTGTAACATCTGACCTGAAGAAGACTATCTAAGAACTCTAAGGAGCCTTCTTTTATTTTTTCTTTGCCTGAGGCTTTAACTCCTTTTTCAACATTTAGTTGAAGTTACACCACGTTCTGCGTAGTTTTCTAGAACTGTAATAAAACCACATGTGGGTATTATTTTTGTATTTAGGCTTATGTGCTCCTCCTACCATTTCTGTGGTCGCATTTCAGAAAAACTGCCAGACCTTCATCTCAAAACATGGAGCTTTCTCCAGCTTCGACACTACCAGACAGTGTTGTCTCACATTTTCATTGAATGAGAGCTCCTTGAATGGACTGTGTTGTCGAAGCACATGCTTGTTTTGAATAAAATCAATGTCAAACTGGCTTTTTTTATTGGGAGAACAGTTACAGGACATTGCTGGAAAGAATAACGGACTGGAGAGGGGCTGAATTAAGTCTTGGATGGTAGAGTAAGTGGAAAGGCTGATGCGGGCGCAGCTGCATGTGCGTGTCTGGAAGATGCAAAACCGCAGTAATGTGGGCCAGAGGATACTTTGGCGGGAGCTCTGGACGTTGGTGCTTGTAAGATGAAACGACTTGGGAATATGCCCATTACCCTCTTTTTTAACCTTTAAGAAAATCTAATGAAGCATAAGAGTGGTGGTGTCCATTGAAGGGTGATAGCAGAGGTGGGTGACAGAATAACAGGTTTTCAAGTGTTTGTTGTAGCCACAGAAGTGAGTGCTGGAAGAAAGTGCTCTGAAGTCTATATAGTGTATATGCAGTGGGCTTTGCTTTCTCTAAAGACCACAGTAAGATGACGTTGGCAATTCAGTGAAATTATCATGTAACTGTTACTCTCTACATTTTCAAAAATACCTACTTGATTAACAGCTACATATTACACTGCTTTGATTTGTAAATCTGAAACATACTGAGATTTTTTTTAATTATCAAAGGCTGACCGGAGAATATCTAACAAAATTGTGTTTGAGGATTACTGATAATGCTTTAATGCACAACGCTCATCTCTTAATATTTGTCTTACCACAGTTAGAAAGGGAGAAAAGAGAACTTCATTCAACCACAAGAGGGAGTCTGTTTCTATGGTACGCACACGGTCTATTAATGAATGCAGGTTCTGCCACTTATTGCCTTTAGTCAGGAAGAGTATACTTAACTCTGGATTCTTACAAAACACATTTCTAGGTCAGTTGACCACTTTGACTTCTCCTGTACCCTGATTCTGAAGATGGGTCATGTGGGGCTTTTACTTCTCTCATTTATGCTAGAATTACTTCAGTATTTGTGAGATAAAACCAAAAAGGTTGTTATTATCAGAAAACGTCAACTGGTTCACTTTATTCCCTTTGATAGGTCAAAGCAAGATGTATATTTACAGATTATGCTACAGCCTGTGTTACTAAATCATGTTATTGCAAGGCCAGTTACTTTATTTGAATATTTGGTGTTTCTCATACGGTGAAGCAAAAGCTCAGAGCTTTTGAGGTTTTGATTATAGCCATGCTATGTTTACTTACTATGGGCTGGGCTGAACTGTAACTTAACTATATTATTTGGGAGATTTGATGTATAACATTAAATGGATCATAGTCTGTGCTAGGCTGGTTCATTGATTCAATGAATATGCTGTACTGGGTCCAACCAAAGACCTAAAAAAGTCTCACATAAGACTGAAAACCTTGGCTGGGGTATTTCGGCCAGGTATTAATCAATACTATATGTATGCTCTTCAATAAGTAAGCAGATACTATACACATCTCAATATGAGCCCTGAACTGCCACTGGTTTTAATTGACCAGTACTGGGATGCTCACTGTCTGGGCATGTGGTCTCTTCACTCATTTTAAACATTTCTTACAAAGACTGGAATTTATGTCTGATGCTTTTCTATTTCTTTGCCTGTCCCTCTGAGACTTAAACAGGGGAGCTTTTCCGAAGCTCTAAGTCACTTCTGTCATTCAGAGGAAATCTGAATGACAAGGGTACACTACGAAATCCACTCCTCTTACTGTATTCCACCTGTTTTATTTATTGTGTAGCATGTTGCTGGAGCTATGCTCCTGTACACCATTCATGTAGTTAATTCCATGTCATTACTTTGAAATGGTAACAAATAAAATGGAACTGGTATTAGTGGTGTTCTCAGCTTGAAATTTAATCTCTTCATTTCCTATAATGGTTGATGACTGCATGGAGTGTTTCAGCCTTTTCTTTCATCTCTAGGAAAAGAGAAAAACTACCTCTATATTTTTGCATCTGTGCAGTTTATTGAATATAATGAAGCCTCATATCACTTCCTGGAATACACAGAGCTTGAATTTCTTTCAGTTGAAAAAGTCAATATTTCATAAAGAAGACAATAAAAAAAATATCAGATCGTATGCTGAAATTAAAAGATGAGTGCCATTGATTGTATTAAAGGTCCAAGGCTCTTATATGTGGAGATGGAAAATAGATCATGAAGCGGAACATGGGCGAGGATGGCCTGATCCAGATGGTCCTCCCAGGGAGAATGGAGGCGGTCCCCCAGCAGTCAGTGGGATTTTATCGCTTTGGGGGTGTGGTGTTCCCATTGAGCGTAAACCTGCAGGGACAACATCAAATGCAGCTGTTAATTAGGAAGAAACACAAAACACCTCTATACCATCATACTGCTACCAGCTTTTACCACAGAGGTGCACTGTAGGTATACAGTTACTGAATGTAACTCCTTGAATCTCTGACTATGCACAGAGTAGCTGGGGTTTTAACCACTTCCCTATGACAGCTGGGTTGAGAACAACTAACCAGTACTCCGATGCTCACTGTCTGGGCATGTGGTCTCATCACTAATTTTATACATTTCTTACCAAGGCATTTATGCCATGTATACAACGTTGAAACACACAATCAGCCAAACAATTCTGGCCATTCTGTGATGGAATTTTAAGCCATAATATGAGGTAGATAAAGACACGCACAGCATTTAAATATTTGTTACCCCTATAATGGAATGTTGTAGTATAATGATGCATGAGTCAGACAGCCCCCCCTAAATGTTCAATGTACCACTTTGTTATTTAAATAATTTAAAATGGCTCATTAAATATTCAATTATGTTATTTATGTTGAAAGTACTGAAAATGTGCCAACACGTTTTATGTGTTCATTTAACCCACACAGCATGAGCTTAAGGTTAAAAAAAATGCAAAAAAAGAACCAATCGATGAATCGATGATATTTCATGATTTGTGCATCTCTCTCTGCCACCAAAAAAAGGCCAGTGATGAAGGACAAGGGATGTGTGTCTAATAATGTGGCTATTAAGTGCACACAATGTTTAAAAAATGGTGTACCTCATAAACTCACAATTCAGTGTGTGGATGTATGTATATATACAGTCGTATGCAAAAGTTTGAACACCTCTGGTCAAATTACATGTTTTGTTGATTTTCTAAGTGAAAATAAATGTTATTTTTATTAAAATTGTTAACACAGTTTAACATACCTCAAATATAAAATAAATATATTTTTTGTAATATGTTAAATATGGTAAATAAAGAGTAATTGTGCATTAAAATATGTAGAAGTGTTCCCTGTAGAGGATGTATTTTCACTTAAAAAATCTATAAAACATATTATTTAACCAGGGGAGCCCAAACTTTTGCATACATCTGTGTGTAACATATACATACATACACACACACACACAAACACACTTATATAAGTTTTCTCCATCTAAAATCAATTTGCTCAAGCATTGTTATCACTTTTCATTTAAAAATTTTCATTTAAAAATGCATTCTCTTACCTGCACACTCTCTCCATCACGTTAGTGAGTAAACGGTCTGAGATTCCTGGACTCGACTCCTCAGCCAGACTGAAGGCGTTCTCCAGCTCCTCTAATGCACTGACACTGCTTCCACTCACACGCCGCTTCTCCTTTAACTACACGTCAAGCACAGAAATGGCTCAGTATCAGGACTGCTGGTACCACGCAGTCAGACTGCAAAAGCTAGGTCACTCAAATAGTTAATGGATAATATTAATAATACAGAATAACCTTATTTTTCCATTGACTTGAACTGTCTTAATTTATCTGCTATACATATATGAATATATTCCCTATCTAAAGTAACAGAAGAGAATCAGGTTTTGCAGTGTGTTTTTTATGCTCAAGTATCTGGTTTTGAGATTTGATCCAGCTATCAGTTTACCTCTCTAAAGATGGGCATGAGGAGTGTTGTGAGAGACGGTGACTTTGGCTGCCTCTTCATCGCATCTGTTGTCTGTAATCAAAGCAATGACAAAAGCTTGATGAGGAATAATGTGAAGTGGCCTGTCAAACAATAGGACAAATGCTGCCAGATAGGGTTATCAATCTTTCACATAGATTATGATTATTTAGGAAATGCCTTACAAAATCTCAGATTTCATCATGATTCAATTTGACTTTGCTTGCTTTTCTTTTTTTGTGTGGTGGTCTCCTAGTTTAGTTTTTGTTCCTCCCACTAGCTAGATCCTCTCCATCACACAGTAGCAACTAACCTGGGAGGGTAAAGGCTTATTCAGTATATTATATTATTATAATGTTCCAAAATTGATAAAGTTAATGCAGTGAGTGATACTCTGTGATGTATATAATTTTATTAGAGATACCATTCTGATTCTTTAGGAACTCCTAAGTTTTAAAATGAGCCATTTTTCACTGAACATCAACCTATAAGGTAGGCTATCACCTTAAACTACACAAATACTCTACAGGCCCACAGGCAGACATACACAACTAACATGAATGTTGTATGAAGTGATGAGTGCGGTATTTTAGGTTAGATTTTTTACAGGATTGGGCCAGATACATTTTTTTTCTGAACTAATTCAGCATTTTCTGCTGATTTTAGCTCGTTACCATAGTATCGGATCAGTGCCTCTAATTTTTATACCTCTACTGGCAGATGAAGGTGCCCAGACTCACCTTATTGTCTGTATGGTTGAGGCCTCGCTGTAGCTTGTTCATAGAAGTGGGTCTTACAGTTGGGGGGAATGTCCACATAGGACACTGATCTCTGTCATCCCCCTCTCCATCCCTGAGACAAAATACACACACAATGACACATAGAAGAGGTTACACTGGGGACTACAGACAATCCTGACTGCCTGTGTGAAGGTATCATCCAGCTATCAGTGTGCCTCTCTAAAGACAGGTATGAAGAGTGATGAAGACGTGTAAAGATGTGTATATAGTCACATACATGTCAGAGTCGTCAGAGCTGGACTCATCTCCATGACCCTCAGACTTCCAGCGGCGGTAGCGGTCAATCAGCTCAGCTAAGTAGGATGTTTTCTTGGTGTAGCGAGTGATGAATTTATGTTTCAGCAGCTCTTTGGCTGTTGGTCTCTGCAGAGAATGTCACGGTGTTATCTCATTGAATGACAGTGAGAGGTGAATTTCTCTCAGTTTGAGCGGACACTGCTGCACAAGACAAATAAACACAGCCTCTTTACATAGGCCCACATACTGACACGGGCTTAAATTTACAAAATACACATTCTAGCATTTTACAATGTGTAAAAAAGAAGCAGTGATTATTTCTAACATTATTTTTGGTGTCAGAATCATTTGTTCAATCTGAGTAGTCCCATGGAAATGGAGGTCTACTCTTATTCCTATTCATTTGCTTTCTCATAATGATAGTTCATGACAAAATTCCACAATTTTTCAGCTTTGTTAGATCGTTTTCTTTTCATTTGAAAAGATGTGAGGGCAGCATTTAGATTGTGTTATTTAATACGTGAAATGGGTGAAGTTGTTCAGATAAATCCAATCAAAGGAATGATTATAATGCAATATGATAACTCCACATAGCTGAAAATAAACATATAAGATCTATGGCAAAACATGACTTTGCTAGTATGTACTGTAAAATTTATTTAGTTTAAAGGGGCCATATGAAGAAAAACTCAGTTCTTTTAAATAAAAGAGTTTAATGCTACGCGTAAAATAAACCACTAACTCCCCAGTTTGCATGGTTCATATATCTAAATTAGGCTGTGAAAACAGAGTTGAATTAGCTATTTTGGTGAAGTCACAAAAACCAACACATTTACACCTCACACTCAGCCTTCAGCAGTTTAGTATTGTCCATTTATGTTGAAGTTATAAAGAGTGTTTCAATCTGGACTGCTTTTTTGAATGACACAATACTGTGCAGCCAATCAGAAGATTGAATTTCTAAGTGAAAATAAGTTAACACTTCTTTTACAGAGAATACAGGTCTGCATATTTTAATGTATGCCTCCTGTTAATGTGGCCTGTGCAAAAGTTATGGTTTATTTTATATTTTATGTTTATTTTTTTAGAATAAATATGTCAAATTAATATGTTAAATGTGTTTACTAAAATTTGCAGAAAAATACTACATTTAACTGTGAACTTATTTTTACTTAGAAAAATAACAAAACATGTAATTTGACCAGGGGTATTCAAACATTTGCATGCAAATATATATCAGCCTTAAAGGCACAGTGGCATAAACAGCCTGTTTAATTCTTAGGGATAAAGAGAGATTGTAAATGTAGGATAGGCCTCTTAACCATTAATCTCAACATACTAGATTTAACAGATCCACAGTTTTTAATTTAGGACATGGCCACTCACAAATCGTGGGTCTTTATTGAGACAAGCTTCCACAAACTCCTTGAAGGCCTTGCTGTAGGAACCCTCCAGGGTGGGGGGGTTGTTCTTAGGGATGAGAAACAGGACCCTCATGGGGTGCAGGTCTGAGTTTGGGGGCTCCCCTTTGGCCAGCTCTATGGCCGTAATACCCAAGGACCAGATGTCAGCCTGGGACACGGAAACAAGGACAAGGAAGAACGAAAGAGAGAAAAGAGAGCGTTGAGGGCCCTTACCATCTGTCTGTTTCTAAATATTTCATTAGGATTATTTTCATGACAGAACAGAAAGTGTTCAGTACTTAAGCAGCACTTAACAGATGTTGATTTGTAACTTGACTTGTAGACTTGAACATGACACCTGTTGGACTGAAGAACTAGTGAGGGGGAACAGACAAAGACCTAGTACCTTGAAATCATATGCAGACTGCTTAATGACCTCCGGAGCCATCCAGAACGGAGTACCCACAAACGTGTTCCTCTTGATCTGCGTGTCTGTTAACTGGCCTGCCACACCAAAGTCTGCTAGCTTTACCTCTCCGTGCTCCGACAGTAGAACATTGGCAGCTGTTGGATGTAAAGATGTGTAGTGATCAGACAAAAGTCATAACTGGTCTATAATCTTTAAAGGAATAGTTCGACACGAGTTCAAATGTACTCAGTTTTCCCTAAAATTTTATTTGAAACACAGTCGATCAGTCAACACACATTTGTTGACTGAAGTTTCGTTCTTTAGTTCTGCACTAGAGCTACAAGGCTAATATAATGAACAAGTAATGAAAGCTTATAGTCCACCAATTAGCATCATACAAACTGTATGCCTAAATCATCATAGACATGCCTCAAACCACAAAGAACCACTAAGTAATCTCCAATAGACTTCTTATGTGGTTTCTGACCCTGTATGACATACTGTCGTCTAGGGGAGGGCGATATGACAAAAATATGTCATGATACTTAAGGACAAACAAGCCCCAGTACAATGTTACATAAAAATACTATGAAAAGAACTAGTATAATGATTTTTTCAGGATGCACTAAATTTAATGAAATAGGTCTAATTATGTTTTTTTTTTTTAATGGAACATCCAGTTCTTCTTTGTTCTTCAATTACTGATGATATCCTTAATATATGGGATGTAATTTATCACAATTTATTACAATAAATCTTGTCATATGTCCTACTGCCATTTACCAAAATAGACAGCTTAATTATGGCTGCTACTTCAGTTTTTTAGCTATGTATTATATAGATATCATTTCATACAGCGTCAGAAACCACATAAGCAAGACTATTCATATGACTTAACAACTCCTCACAGTTTGAGGCAACTGTGTGATGATTCAGACAGAGTTTGCACAATGCTACTTGCTGAGGTAGATGGTTCCAGTAGCTCCAGTGTACAACTAAAGAAGGCTGAATATATTTGGGGAAAACTGTATAAATCAAACTACTGCCTTATGATTTGGATGAGACAGAGACACTTACACTTTGTTTCCTCAGTGTGATTTACTTAAATAATCCTTGACAGTTTCAAAATTTCAATCAGAAATGTAGCATCCAGATTTTACATGTTAGCCTTTAGACTCTGCAGGGCTTTGCTGAGTTGTAATACAGATGCTATTTAGATCCTGACCTTTAATGTCTCTGTGAATCTTCCTCTCTGAGTGTAGGTAGTCCAGTCCTTTGAGGATCTCTCTGAGGATGGTGGCGATGTAGGCCTCCTCCAGCGGCCCTGGCTTGAGCTAACCAGACACAACACAAAGAAATCTCACATACATACATAATCTAAACCGCTTATCCTTCTGGGTCGCAGTGGGGTGCTGGAGCCCATCCCAGCTGTCACTGGGCAGAAGGCAGGACACACCCTGGACAGGTCGCCAGTCCATCACAGGGCAGGCAGACAGACATACACATTCACACACTCACACCTAGAGGCAATTTTAGCATGTCCAATTGGCCTGACTGCCTGTTCTTGGACTGTGGGAGGAAACCGGAGCACCCGGAGGAAACCCCACGCAGACACGGGGAGAACATGCAAACTCCTCACAGAAATGACCCTGGTCACCTGGCCGGGAATCGAACCCAGGCCATTCTTGCTGTGAGGCGACAGCGCTACCCACTGCGCCACCGTGCCGCCCCCAGAAATCTCACATTATTCTGCAAACTTTGGTTATATTGTCCCTACATTACAAAACATTTGTAGGACAAAATATGTGAGACAAAGGTTTCAGTATTCAGACAGCAAAATGTGAATGTAACAATGCTGTTTTGATGTTGGGCAACAATCAACATCAATTTTTCATCAACATCATTTACTTAATTGGTGTAGATCTGATGTTGAGTTTGTATCGATTTTACTTGTTGTACTGGCCAATGACTCAACACCATTAAATCAACCATGTTGAACACTGATCCACTGCTGTGAAGACAGCACTCACTGATGGCTGAATAGATGCTGATCTAATGTTGCTACTGATGTTGATTCATTCAAAGCAGAGTAAATTCAGTTCAGTATTTGCAAAATACAACAACTTATGTCTATTTGTAGCCATTAAAAGCCACTCTAATTCAGAGCAATTTACTGCAGTAGGCGAGTGCGGCATTTGGAGACTTACTCAAGGACTTTTATTCTCATACAGTGGTGCTGCCTAGACAGGGATCAAACTTCTTCAGGCAGGGTAACTGCTTTAATCTCTTTCATTTGCCTATAAAACCACATTATAAGATTGTGTTCTTGTGGTCAATGCGAGTTGATAGAATTGCGATTCGCAACACAGGATCTTGTAGCCATCTGACAGTGGTGTAAACTATGGTACAGTGGGTAATGCAGTTGCCCTGCATACAGAAGGCTAGAGAGTTCAGCCACATCCGGGCAGCACCACCACACAGTAATAAGTCTGGTAATGGTTCAAACACTGAACTTGCCGACCACTGTAAATTGCTCTGGATTAAAGTGTCTGCTAAATGTCTAGAAGCGTAAGTAAGGGGAATTACTTTTTGTGGACTAAAAATTGAATCAACGTTACAGAATCAGAGTAAAAACTGTTTCGACATTAAATTAACATCAGTACTGACGTAAAACAACAGCTATGCGACTATCAGTGAGTGCCGTTGAAGCAGTGCTGGATCAGTGTTCAACGCGGTTCATTTTCCAGCACTGAATCAAAGGCTAATACAGCAGATACATCAGAGATCTACATTATTTCAGTGGTATGGCCCAATATCAAACACTGTTTCAATCACAGTTTGCTATCTGGGTAGTTTAATGTATATTTTGCAAATATCTTTAATGTAAGCACAGTCGATACTCACCATGTCTAGAGCTGAGCCACCACCCAAATACTCCATGATGATCCATAGTTTCGTGCCCTGTAAGTACACACAACTGACAAGTTAACATCCACAACAACAAGCAAATGCGCTTGTTTAAAAATTGTAATCCTGCTATCATCTTCAAGACGTATATCAATATTCACTTTTTCTGAGGTACGCTAACAAGTCGCAGCAGATACAATGTACCAGCAAAACTTAAAAACTAGTAAACTATTCTTTAACCATTTATCAGGATAGTCTTATGGTAAAGTGGTACCAAAGGTTCAGTAGCACGAAGGAAAATTTAGAAGCACACAGAGGGGTACATCTGAAAACATTTTAGTATTGAAATTTACAAGGTGTTCACTGGAGACATACATGTTTGAGAATTAATAAAATATGAATGCAAACCAATTTAAATAAAAAAGGATGCTGGAAATAATGCTCAAACCTGGGAAATCTTTCAGCAACTAGACGTTAAAGTGGTAGGTTTTACAGATTTTTATGCCTAATCAGGAGGAGGTTTGAGCTAAAAAAGCTGTCCTTCCAGATGATCTAATGTCTTTTGGCAAAAGGTAATGAAACAACAGAAAAAATGACATCTGTATGTATACATTGATATTTACCTTTAAAGATTGGCTGTGGTTGTGACTGGCTGAAAGGAATGTCAATCATTATTTGGCAAACGGTCAATTAGTCTAAATCTTAATACCTGCCCTGCGATACCCGCAGTCTGCTCAAAACAGAATATCACAATTACAATAACATACAAGCATGACACCCACCCCCATGTGAGAATGCATAGCTCTGTGGATTTTAGCGTTCCCCATGATATAGCACACTTGAAATAACTCATCAACTATAAAGCCTTTCATCAGCTGAATCAGGCGTGTCAGAGCAGAGAAAACACTGAGCTCAGCAGTGCTGAAACCCTCCAGGAATGCGATGTGATGCCATTCCAAGTGTCTAAGTAGAATAAAAGCCTTTTTTCAGACAGCAGATGGACACAGTGCTGTAAGAGGCTAGATTAAGGTGATATTATGGGTATTACAATAAAAGTAAAAGTATAAATAATTATTCCACACACCTTAAGGTAGGAGCCAAAGTATTTAGTCACAAACGGACTGTCACATTGGCTGAGAACCGTGATCTCCTGCTGAATGTCTTCTATCTCATCTTCCGCTTCTTCCAGGTCAATGATTTTAATAGCCACCACCTCCTTTGTGCGGTTGTTAATTCCCTTGTAAACTTCTCCAAAGGAGCCTTTACCGATGCGCTCTAGCTTGGTGAAGTACTGCTCAGGATCCAGGCGAGTGTTCTGATCAGAATAAACAGACAAACAAAGGATCTTTAATTACTATTAAAAAGAAATAAAACTAACTTGCATAAAAAAGCTCAAAAAGACACCAACCATGCAAAGTAACAGCGTATCACTGTTGCCGAAAACTTACCCCTCTTAGCCCCGATGTGGACACCACTCCATGTGTTGTCCCCAGTTTCAAAATTTTAACTGGCAGTTACCAAGCAACAGGTTCACCCAGAGCTACCATCAATGATTTCACTGCACTTATGCTAATTCAGAGCTAATAGGAATTCATGTGGTAAACAATGGAAAAACCTACTGAAGTTTTTAATGCAATCCATATATTAGTCAGCTATTCTGTTGTCTGTCTGAAGTATAAATAAGCATCTTTGTGGAACTGGACACTTCTGCCTTTTGTATTTCAGGAACGATGAATCACTCAAGACATTGTGGACGTTGCATTATCAAATCCAAGAACCAGCACCACTCCTCAGCCCTGTCTCAAAGTTCAGTAGATAAGATCTTGCCAACAGTTAAAGTGCCATGCTATCAGTAGAATGAAGAGATTTCCTCATTCATTAAAACGTGATCATCTGACTTTTTGTAAAAGGGCGTGATGAAAACAAACACATTTAAACATTTATTCAGCTGATATTTCCTATGTCACTCTAGTGTCCAACAGTGGCCATTACACTGTAATGAATCATGAACTGATGAAATGCCCTGTTTTTCCTTTAAAATGTTAAACAGTTCTGGATATATTGTTAGTTGCCATATTGCGACGCTCATCAGTATTCTGTATGATTAGTCCAAGCCAATCTAATCTTTGGATGTGTCTCATTTTGTGGCAAAGAGCCAATGTGCTGACCTATCTTCTAATCTCAAAGACCTAATTACATGCTTATTATCCCAATGGCATAGTAAGAAGGCTAAACTAGGCCTGCATATCAATAAAACACAACATTGTTGTTGTTACGGAGCACACAAAGGGAGACATGCCTTGCATTCACATAAACTAAATTTGATTAACTGCTGACTCACAGCTAATAATATTAATTAATATTAATATTGAATCACTAATTACATGGTTGGGGAAATAAAGGAAATACCAGAAACTGGCCCAAATAAACAAATAACTGAGAAAAAAGACTGAGTTTCTCCTCATGTGAAGTTCTCTATGGTCCAAGTGTGTATTTGATTATAAATCCCATCTAAACTGACTTCTGTAGTCATTTTGAGAACACAGTGTGCTGTAATTATTCATTATTTTTCAGTTCAGATTTTCTGATCAGTACATGAAATAATAACATTTATGAAGCTGTTCCCCTTGAAACATATCCCTCTCTGTTTTTGTTGACACTTTTCTTTAAAAAAAATGACTAGTCTTATTTAGAGATACACCAATGGCCAATGGCTCATTTCTTGTTTTGAATAATTTTTACTAGCCGATTTTTTTAAAACCAAAACTCACAATGTGTGGGGTAAATAAACACATTACATGTTTCCAGTAAATTTTATTAGCCAAATTTGCAATAAAACAATATTATTCTTATAAATAACACATTGAGTCATATAATTATACTACAACATTTTTTATAAGTGCAGCAGCAGCATTCAAATACAGCACGGGTGCACTTATCTGCCTCATGCTGTTTACTTAAATAAAACTGCAGCGCAGATCTTCCAAAATAAAAACAATAAACTACCCAATTTCATGTTTTGATCAAAAATCTCCTGATTCCAATCTTGGCAGATTCTCATTGTGCATAACCCAGCACAAACTGTGTATAACTTCACACAAAATCAAAAAATAACCCACTCATGTTGGTTTTGGTAATTACTCCTGAACAAGACTCACCTGTGCAAACCATCATTCATTTGATTAGTCAAAAAAATACATTAGCAAAAAAATTTTTATATGCTAAAAATTTATCAGTGGTCCAGCAGAGCATGCTGTATTCACTAACCACGTATTTTTATAAATCAGACTTCATAGACAGATTATAGCAGGGGGGGCTCATTGGATTTTATACCATTTTTAAACAAATCTACTCTTGCAGCTGACAGTCATCAGTAGATTAGGAGCTTCTGCGATCTGGGTGCTTGAGTAACCTTGCTCGAGGGAACCAAGTCAGTACTGTATTGGATGGTATGTTCTCGCTGACTTGTTCACACCTGCATCAGTGTTGCTTACTGGTCTGGAGCTGCCTGGCCTTCAAACCTCTGTATCCTTAGGGTGGGATCCTGGAGCATGATGCTCATTCTCAGGATATGAGATTAACATCCAGTAATATGTAGTCAGTGTGCTTCTGGGTCACACAGTTCTTACTGAGCTAAAATTAATCCTAAATTTCAAAATGTATAATTTATCAGTTGCTTCTGATTGCACACTGGGGAAAACAAAGCTTGCACACATTATTCTGGATTAGTTCTGAAAAAACATATTCATAAGTTTGTCCAGTTTTGATTATTGTGCCAAAAAATGAACTTTATTTAGTTCACAACACCCTTTACAAGAACTTTGGCAAACCTGGAAAAATCAACTATTCACTTAATTATTTTAACATTATAACAGAGAACAGGGCCCATATCCTATATATCCATTTTCTGAGAGACACTTAAAGTTTAGGTGGGTTTATAGATTAAAAATGATGTTATGAGAAATGTTTACAATTTCTCTTTATCCCTTAAAATTACACAGGCTGTTTTTGTTACTGTGCCTATAAGACTAATACATGTAAATGACTTCAGATTGGTTGTCTGGTTTTGTGCGTCATCCAAAACCAGACCAGACTGAAATGCTTCTTATAACTTCAACATGAATGGGCGGAGCTAAACTGCTGTAGGCTGAATAGGTGGTTATACGAAAATTATTTAGTTTTTGTGACACCACAACCATAATGAATGTAAAACAGGCCGTTTTGAACTGAGGAGTGAATAGTATGCTTTGAAATTTTAACACTGTACCACATTAAACTCGAACTCAAAACAGTGCAAAAATTCCCTTTTACACAATATGGGCTCTTTAACTGACATTTATCCCTGAGAAAAGACAGCCTACTGGGCCACATGCTTCCATTATTTTTCCTAGCGGTGTTCACCATAAACACCTAGATTAGATCTACAGTGATAGACTGTTTTGAGGAAGAGTTTATCACAGCTTTTGTAGATGTTGAGCTTTTACAGGTCAGTAAGCTTTGCTAAGGTAAACTAAGCTCTAAAATGGCCCTGGCCTCACTAAATGTCTTTCTTCCTCCACAAAGACTGTCTTCACACCCAGTTTGGCATAGGTACCTTTTCACAAGTTTAAACCATATTTTCCGTCTCTGAGAGAAAATGAAGGCTTGTTTTCGAAAGTCAGAAGTGGTCTAAGAGCTTACACATCTACCCAGCGTAGTCTGTCCATCTTTTACCCAGCTGATAGCAAACACGACCCGCCGGACTTACCTGGTTCCCGATGCCCCGTAGATGAGCCATGGCGGCCGGACACACCGAGCTGGAGCTCACGCAGCCCTTCCCCTCCGGACTGGAGCGGTTTGTCTTCCTCTTGGTTCACTTTTTCCCTATTTTCTGGACCGTACCCCCCACAGAAACACAGGCTAAAAGCCTATATCTGCTCCCTCAATCACACCTCTCTCTGGCTGTCTGTTAGCGAAGTCCTTCCTGCAGGCCCACCCTGGATTTGTTCAGGGTCGTAATATTTCCTTCCGTCCATGCAAGACGTCTGACACCGAATTTAATCGGAATATTTCTACTTTGACGTCTTACCAAGGAGACTCCCTTTCCTAAGCTTCTTCTGCTACTTTGTGAAAGGGGATGATGTAATGCGCATGCGTGGAGTACACCATAGCGCAGACAGTTTTGGGTACTGTAGTTTTTCTTTGCTGTGGCACTTTCAGGCTATACTAATAATATCAGTTCAGTTACTACTTTTAATGCTATTACTACTACAACGTCTGCTGTTATTACCACTGTTATTACTTACCACTGCTACTAAAACAACTAGTGCTACTACTTTCAGTACAACAAGAATTACCAGCCTACTACATAAGCTCTTATTACTTCTAATTATTCTGTTATTCACTACTGTTAAGTCACTACTTTTGCTGCAATTACAACTGATGGGTTTAATATCAAATGTTGTTTGTCTATTTGTAACAATTTTGGATATAAAGAGTTCTATAATCTAAAATATAATAGCCACATTTTGTCAAAAAAAAATATTCCTCTTCATTCTACATGAATGGCTACGGTAACAGTCAGGATTTGTTTATCACTGTGAGGGGGATTCCCAATGCTTATTGTACCACATATTTGCATAGTGCAGGCTGGGTATTGCAGTGAGAGAACACTGTTGAATGAAAACACAAAAAGGATACAAAATCATAAATTCTTTTAAAGTGACATGGCTGAGAGATGCAATGCTGTCCTACAGAACACAACTACTGATTAGTTGTAGTTTATTAAGAAATAAGAATAAAAATAGGAAATAAAAATTAACAGAATAAAAAAAGTGAAAATATAAAAAAGACCATTTTAACAAAAAAAGATTAAGATATTATCAATTAAACAACAACAAAAATACATTACCAATCAAAAATGTATCTACGTGTTTTTAAATTGCTAGTGGTAGGTGCCTGACGAATATCTAACGGTAAAGTGTAATGGTAAAGCTTTGATGCATAGTGTCAGAAAGCTGTTTCACCAGATTTTTGTACGTCATTTTTGGAGCTTTTAGCAGGCCTGCACTTGATGATTTTAAATCATGATTTGGAGCGCATTCTGTCTGGCGTTCTGAAATGTATGCAGGTGCTAATCCATTAAGAGCTTTGAAAAACATCAAGACAAAAAAAAAAAAACTTAAAATCAATTCTAGAAGAAATAGGCAGCCAAGGCCATGATGCTAAAACAGGTATAATATGTTGTCTCCTTAATGTACATGTTGCAATCGGTCAATTGTGGCTTTTGCTGATCTTATAAACAGTGCATTGCTGTAGTCTAGGAGTGAAAAGACAAAAGCATCGGTCAGTTTCTCAGCATCAAGCAGCGTGAGGAAAGACCTGACTCATGTTGTGTTTCCTGAATGAAATTTAAATGATAATGTTGAATCAAATATTGCACCTAAATTTCTAACTTTTAAATTTCTAACTTTTTCTCTATCTTTTGTTTGTGAAGCCAGATTTCTCAGGCTAGTTGTAACATTTCTGTTTGTTGCTACTACAGCAACTAGTACTACTACTAATTTATACTGCACCTGAACTAGTAATACAACTAGGCCTTCTGCTACTAGCTGCTGTTGCTACTTTTGCTAGAGCTACTATTACTACTATTCATAATAATGATCCAGCGAGGCTAAACACTGATAGTGTTGCAGATATTATCTGACACTATGCAGACATAGTGTCACACTGTCAGTAAAGAGATTTACTCTACATCAGCAGGTTCTTCCTCACATACTCCCTGTTCCTCTAGGGTGCAGCATTGCACAAAAAAGATAGGCCTCGTTTTAAGTTCATAATAACTGTGAACACACTTTATCCAAAGATTTGGTCATGGTCCAGTATCAGATGTGCAGCTTGCAGTTCAGCTTGCATAATACAGGGATCAGTTAAAACATCCGGAATCTGGGATTTGTCAGCACTAAGCATGCAGTAACTATGTTTATGGATATGAGCAATAAAGCAGTCACAGAGCCAAAGCCAAACAAACCTGAAGGTATTCCTCATGCAAGCCATGACACAGCTGGTGGTTACACAGAAATACATATTTAATGTGGTGAAGTCCCACAGTGTTAAGTGACTCCCTCTCTTCAACAGAACATTAGAATTTCATGGGAAAGTAAAGCTGTTTTTATCTTCCTTATACAGAGCAGAAGATAAAAATGCCTCACTGGATGGTTTCTTAAGAGCCTTTTTGACAATTGCATTTGCTATTTAGGTGAGTGTGTGATGTAATTGAATCATAGGCTAAATGTGGACCATCGAAGGCAGAACCAGCAGGCTGAGAACGGATCTGACTGCACAGAGCTGCTGAATCACTTTTGATTATGAGTGCTTTGGAGGATGATTTAAAATGCACCATTCTAAATGCTGTATGTGGTTTAATTTAGCTTTATTTTCAGTGTGATGTAGAGCAATGCAGAGCAAATTTATTTGTATTTTAAGATCTTATTTCCAGATTCTTCATCTTAATACACAAAACGATCTGCCTGCTTGTTGTGTGGATGGCTGCCCTGGTTTCCAAGGCAACAGTCTGGAAAGTTGTTTGTGCCGACTTGTTGATGTGAGCATCAGTTAATATCTCTATTTTACTGAGCCTTAAAAAGGAAATGAAAAACACTCAAAATGTCATGTTTTTTGTCTGAAACATTTAGCAATCAAGTTCAGTTCAAGTGGCCTTCTTTTCCAGTGGATGTATCCATTACCACTAGAACTGTAAACACCTGTGGCTATTAGGGAAATGCTGCAGGTTACCTGTGTGACATCACTGGTCACATCAAATCTATCAGGTCACTGAGTGATTCCTCAGTGACGTTCAATTTCAGACAGCTTCATAATAGAGGAACTGCTGCAGCACTCTTAGTTCTTGTTCTCACACTTGGCACAAGGCTGGCCCACATTTGAGATGAAAACCTCTTCTTGTTCAGTTTCTGTTCACGTTTGTTCCTGTTTTGGTGTCTTCACTGTCTTGCCACTGTTTCCTCTTGTTGTGTCACCAGTTGTCAGTGTGGAGTCATCTGCTGGCCAAAAGTGTTTTGTCTACTTCGAAAAAGCAAACCAAGGTGTTTTTTTTTCTTTTTTTGTCAGCAGTAATGTAATCTAGTAGTTATTACAGGGCTTGTCAAAGCAGATCCTTGGAGGATTTCAGGAGACGTGTTTCACCACAGTGACGTGACAGGGATGACTTTCTGTTTCAACAGGGTGGGTAGCGCTAATTATTTCAAACCGTTACACTCTTCCTGTGAAAAGGCTAAGTGGGACAACCTCTGACATTTTTAAAAGAGGTGTTACCAGTGTATGACCCATTTTTCAAGTTATAGGGAAGTTTAAAACAAATGAATCGTGCAGTTACCATATAGAAGTAGATGATAATAACAGGTATAAATAAAAATGGAAAAGAAAAAAAAGCCAAAAATGTTTCAAAATTAGGGTTTGAATCATTTTAAAACCTATTAAGAATAGGGGCCAAATGCTACAGAAAGCATGTTTCACTATAAGAACTAATAGTAATTATTTAACAAGATTTGGAATATAATCTGATAAACACTCTGTCAAACCTGTTCCTGCCAACACTGTAATAGCTTTAAAAATGAACAGAAGAACTTCAAAAGGCTGTGCTATGTCGCAAGGACAAAAGTAATTTTCTACTTCTGCTTATATACATTAGCAGCTATATTTTGTACAAGCTGTAACAGGTCAGTAATTACAGTATTTGTTTTCTAGATTATTGGCAGTCTAGTGATTAGAGCATTTCAATGGTTTGGTCGAAAGAAGGCAAAAGCATAACATCTTAGTTTTCTGCAGTGTAACAGAGGATCTTTAGGTTGACTGTTCCGAGATGGAAGAGAGAAATCTTGGTAACATTACTAATGTGTGATTCAAAAAGACTTAGCTGGTAGACTACATGGCAGCTCGGGATACAGGACTTTTTCATTTCTGCTTATTTCAGTCACTGAGTAAACAAAGTCTTTCAGAGTGGTTTGATGTGAAGTGGCTCAATGTGGGGAAACTTTGCGACTCCTCTACAGACTTCTTTACAGTGGTGGCGCTAGGAACCAGGCAGTCAGGCATCAGTCGCAATGTTTACAGCACAAATACAGCCATTTTATTTATTTTACAAAATTCCTAAGTGTGTCTTCTGAGTTTTTATATGTAACGTTGATAATGGTAAAATGGTGTTAAATCTGAAAAAAAAAGTTTTGCAGCACTACAGCCTGCATGTACTTCTCTGCCATGAATCGAGCAAAAAAAAAACAAAACACATTTTAGGCCAAAACTATTATAAAACAATGCACCATGCAGCGTATTCACAACCATTTCATGTAATAACGTTCTGTGAGGCAGCTTTTAGAGGCCTTAAACTCCTCAGGACGTCTGGTTCCCATCACCACCACTGTGAACAATCCTGACTCTATAAGAGCTTTTCACATCACACCCCTCTGAATGACTTTCTCTACAAAACCTCGCAATGTTACGGCTAAACTCCTTTGAAAGCGCTTGTAGTTTAAAGCCGCTTCGTCTGAAATTGTTTGCTATTTGCAGGAACATTTTCGTGTGAACTGAAAGGGCCCTTCAGGCTCTAAGGGGGCGTGGCCGTTCGTCGGAGTGACTCCGCCCACTGCCGAACCTCCCGGGCTGGTTGGCCATAGAAGGAAACTTCTCCTCCTGCTCTCCTCAGTGAAGCTGCAAACCTGAAAACGGAGCCCAACCGGCGGATTTAGGACGGAAGGAATCACAATAACGGCTCCAGTCAGGCTGTGGCAGGCGAAGAAACTCTCTCAGTCGGCGTCGATGCTTTAAAATGTCGGCTGTAGCTTCATTTTACAGAGAGCCGTGACTTCACATCCAGGAATTAGCAACGGCTCTCTGAGTGTCTTCATCTGCATCAGCGCCAGTGGGCAGTTTCTGAAGATCAGGTCAGCTGGAAAGGGTCAATAAGATAAAGCAGAGGTAAGTTATGGACATATATAGACAAACAACATTAAACACATTATATTTACCTAAAGTTCAAGTGGGCGTATCACAGAAAGTGCGTTCAGCTGCACCTAGTTGGTTCACTTATTCTCAAGCTGTGAGGTCTGAGTAGATGAGATCTAATCTCACTGAGCAGTTAT